AATGATATGCTGTGTATGAGAGACACTTTAGCTTTAAGGATGCACAGAGATTGAAAGGGTATGGATGCAAAAAGGTATACCAAGTGAATGGTAAGCAAAATAGAGCAAGTGTAGCTATACTTATATCAGACCAATTAGATGTTAAGCTAAACATTACCAAAAAGATAAATAAGGTCATTATACAACAATAAGGGGGTGAATTCATCAAGAAGATAAACAATTATAAATATTTATTCCTCCAACACGAGAATTTAAATATATAAATATATAAATATACAAAGCATACACTAACAAAACTAACAAAACTAAATGGAGAAATAATCAACAATATAATAATATTAGAAGATTTTAATATCCCACTCTCATCAGTGAATAGACCATCCTGATAGAAAATCAATAAGGAAACAAAAGATTTGAACAACACTTTAGGCAATAGATCTAAAAGACTTATACAGAACATTTCATCCAATTGCAACAGAATATACGCTTTTTCACAAGTGCACTCAGAACATTCTCCAGAATAAATCAAATAGACCAAAAAGCATATCTCATCAAAATCAAGAAGACAGAAATTATATTAAGCATCTTTTCCAACCACAATAGTATGAAGTTAGAAATCAATAAAAACAGGAAAGTAAGAAATTGACAATTTCCATAGAATGTATAGAAAGTAAAAAACACATTCTTAGACATCTAAAAACTCAAAGAAGAAATGAAAATCATAAAATATATCTTGGAAAAAATGCAAACACAGTTTAACAAAATTTATGAATTGCAGGAAAAGCAACACCAAGAGGCAAGTTTAAAACTATAAACACAAACATAAGAAAAGATATCAAACAAACAACATAACATTACAACTCGGGGAACTAGAAAAAGAAGAACAAACTTAGCCCAAAGTTAGCCAAAGGAAGGAAATATCAAAAACTAGAGCAGAAATTTATGAAATAGAAAATAGGAAAACAATTGAAAATATGAATATAAGTAGGAGTTTTTTGAAATGATTAGCAGCAGTGACAAAATGAAAGATCATAAGAAACTAATATTAACAATTATATGCCAACAAATTGGATAACATAGAAGAAATGGATAAATTCCTAGAAATAGACACCTACCAAGACAGAATCTTGTTCACTGAGGGTGGCAGTGCAAAATGGTGCAGCCACCATGGAAAGCAGTTTGGAGTATCCTCAGAAAATTAAGGATAGATCTACCATATGATCCAGCTATTCCACTGCTGGGTATTTATCCAAAGAACTTGAAAACACAAAGGCATAAAGATACTTGCACCCCTATGTTCATTGCGGCATTATACACAATAGCCAAGGCTTGGAAGCAACCTAGGTGCCCATCAAGGGACGAATGGATAAAGAAGATGTGGTATTTATACACGATAGACTACCACTCAGCCATAAGAAATGACGAAATCCTGCCATTTGTGACAACATGGATGGACCTTGAGGGTATTATACTTAGTGAAACAAGTCAGAGGGAGAAAGTTAAATACCGTATGATCTCACTCATAAGTAAAAGATAAAAATGACCAAAAAAGAAAAAACACATAGCATTGGAGATTGGACTGGTGGTTACCATTGGGGAAGGGGGGAGGGGGGAGGGCAAAAGGGGTGATTAGGGTCACATGTGAGGGGATGCACTATAATTAGTGTTCGGGTGGTGAACATGATGTAATGTATCCAGAATTTGAAATATGATGTACATCCAAAAAAAATAAAAATTAAAAAAAGAAATATATCTAAACAGACCTATAATGAGTAAGGAGCTAGAAGCTGTGATCAAACATCCCAAAAGAGAAAAGGCCAAGATTCGATTTATCACTGGTGAATTCTACCTAACAATTAAAGAAGAATTAACGCCACTCCTTCTTAAAATTTCCCAAAAATTTCAAGGAGAGAACACTTTCAAATTTACTTTACTAAGCAAGCACTACTCTGACACTACAGTGAGATAAAGACAAGAAAATATTTAAAGATACAAGCCAATAACTTTGATAAATATAGATGCAAAAGTTCTCAGCAAAATACCAGCAAGCTGAGTTCAGTGGCACACTTAAAGGATCATACATTATCGTCAATTGGCACTTGTCTCTGGGATACACAAATGCTTCAACATATGCAAATCAATAAATGTGATACATTGCATTTGTAAAACAAAAGGTAAAAATTTTATTCTCTCAGTAGATACAGAAAAATTATGTGAAAAGTATAAACCATCTTTTATAATAAAAGCTCTCAACTAATTGTGGAAAGAAATAATACACCTAAACATAATAAAGTTCATACATATAATGTCCATGATTAACATCATATCCAATCGTGAAAGTTTGAGATCTTTTCATCTAAAATCTTGAACTGCTAAAAGATGCACATTTTCATCTCTCCAGTTCAACATAGTACTGGAAGTCTTACTGAGATCAATTAATTAAGAAAAAAAAAGACATCAAAATCATAAAGTTAAAGTAAATTTTTTTCTGTTTGGAGATAACATAATTTTATGTATGAAAATCCTAAAGATTCAACCAAAAATTCTTGCAATACATTAATTTAGCAAAGCTATTGGATACAAAATCAATCAACAAAAGAAAATCAATTTTATTTCTATACACTAACACCAAAATAAATGAAAAAGATATAAAAAATCAATCTTATTTATAATACCATCAAGAATATATTTATGAATAAATTTAAGCAAGGAGGGGGAAAGTCTATATACTATAAAGTATAAGAACAAATTTGAAAGAAGACACAAACAAATGGAAAGACATCCCATATTCATGGTTCAGTGAGTTAATACTGTTAAAACATCAATACTATCCAAAGCCATCTATATATTCAATGCAGTCTCTATCAAAACCCCAGTAGCATTTTTCACAAAAATAGAAAATATATCCCCAAATTTGCACGGGATCTCAAAAGATGGTGAATATTCAAAGCAATCTTGAGAAAAAATAACACTGCAAGCATCAGAAATCACTTTCTGATTTCAAACTGTATTACAATCTTATGCTAATCAGAACTAGATGGTACTGAGATAAAAATAAATATAGACAACAAAGGAACAGAGTTGAGAGCACAGATATAGACCCATGCGTATATGGTTTACTAATATTTGACAAGGGAGCCAAGAATGCCTAATGAGAAAAGGATTTTCTCTTCAATAAACAACATTTGAAATACTGGATATTCACACAAAACTAAATAAAATTTGACATCTTTCTCACGCCACTCACAAAAATTAGCTGGAAATGGATGAAAGGCTTTAATGTAACACCTGAAACCATAAAATCATCAGAAAACAGAGTCTTAGAAGGCCTTGACCTTGGTTTTGACGTTGATATTTTTGGACATGACACAAAAAGCACAAGCATAAAAAGCAAAAATCAACAAGTAGGATAGCATCAAACCAAAAAATATTTGCAAATATATGATGAGAGGTTAATATCCTAAAATTTTTAGCAAAAATACAAATAGCCTGATTAAAAAAATGGACAAGGACCAGGATAGACATTTTCCAAGAAAGACATACAGATGACAAAAAAATGCATGAGAAGATGTTTAATGTTACTAATCACCATGAAAATTCATATCAAAACCACAATGGTTGTGCCACCTGCCGTCTGTTATAATGACAATCATCAGAAAGACCAGAGATAACAAGAGTTGCTGAGGGTGTGAATAAAAGAGAGCCTTGTGCACTGTTCTCGGTAATGTAGATTGGTACAGCCGCTATGGAAAACTGTATGGAGATTTCTCAAATAATTAAAAATAGAACTACCATATGATCCAAGAACTCAACTTAGAGGTATATTTCCAAATAAAATGAAATCAGAATCTCAAAGAGATATCTGCACATACATTTCAGGATAATTCAAAACAGCAAACATCAGGAAACAACTAAAGTTTCTCTCTCTCTCTCTCTCTCTCTAAATATATATATATTTGCATGTATATACCTATACATATATATACACAATGGAATATTACTAAGCCAATATAAAGAAAGAAACCCAGGCATTGTGACACGCTGATTGATCTCGTGGGTATTATGCTAAATGGAAATTCAAACAGAGCAAAAGTATACTATATGATTTCACTTATATGTGAAATCTCATAAAGGAATATGGATGAGTCTCCAAAACATAATATTGACCAAAAGAGGCATAGCATAATTACTGATGACTTGTTCGAATAATGGACAGCTTGTTGGAGTTTTTGATTAGGAAAAAAGCAAAAAGAAGACTCCAAGAGTACTAGAAATACGAAATACTCTAAATCTTGATCTTTGTTGTAGTTACATAAGCACCTATATATATATAAAATCCATCAAGCTGTATGCTTGAGATTTGTATTAACTGCATTAAATGAAAACTATATTAGCTGTAAGTAAATTATGCCTTGAAGATGATATATTCAAGGTAACACCCCATTTCAAATTTTCTTACTATTCATGCTTTTGTATATACAGCCTCTACATGATATTCTTTATTTTTAGACAACTATAGAAAACACATCACTAGTACCTTTTGAAATTTTTCTATAGAAACATTTATTTAAAAACTAAGAGTGAAAACTGAAAAGCAATCAAAACAGTAAAGAGACAGACACAGAATTTCCTAAACTATTTTGAAATTTATTTAAATTTTGATTTCATAATTAATTTCATTATGGTCAGATAACTGGTCGCTATTATTTCTCTAAAATATATTGTTATTTTTACGGGCATCTGGTCAATCTTTGTTAATGTCTTACATTTGCTTGGAGATACTGCCATTCTGTTATTGTTTCTTTTGTTTGTTTGAGTTTCCTCCTATAGATCAGCCTGATCAGTTGTCTTGTTGAAATATTTTATTCTTACCAAATTTTGTGGACTTATACCATTTTCTGATCAATACATTTTTAGATCTGTTTTTCTGATGGTGAATGAATCAGGAACAAATAACGAAATTTTCCTGACTGTATTTACTTGTCTCAATTTCATTCACCTCAAGAGAACAAAAAATATTGATGCATAATTGACAGAATATTAGCAATTATGTTCCTTTTTTTCATCCTAACACTGGTGGAGGAGAATAATGAACAGGCAAGCAAACTCTTTAGTCTTGAACAGATGGCTACTCTCTTCTGACATCAATTCCTTCTAGAAGTGTAGCGTTTTCTGAGTAATCTCTCTAGAAATGGACCCAGGATCTACATACATTAGTTAAGGTGCTGTCACAAATATTGAAGTGATATTGGTCTTACATCTCTACTTGAAGCTGGAAATTTCATATGTCGCTCTAAAATTTTCACGTTGGAATTGAGGTGGACTTGAAATGCCATTTTAACTCTCAGAAACTCATATTGCAGATTTATTGTCCCTGGAAGCTCTTTCTGGATTCATTTTTCTTTGTATATTTAAAACTTTATTTCTTAAAATGTTTCAACTCTAGAAAATTTTGCCTCCATCATAAAATACTCTAAGCCAACTTGCTATGCAGTTTCTGATTATAATTTGGCTTTGATGACCCCTTCTTATGGCCATATCTGTCTGTATCTTATCTGGCATGTGTCTTCCTCTAACAGATAGAGAAATAGTCTTATTTCTTTTCTTGTCAAAGTCCCCGACCCTGGATGAGTGCCCATATTATGCATGATGAATATTTCCAGTTATCTGGACATTTGCAGATGTAAGGTGATGCATGTAACTTATAACATGTAAGCTGACTCTTAATCAGGTTCACTCGCTCGTTATCATCATGTGTTCTATTAAGACTAAGCATGTTTATGTATCTGAATTCATATCCATGGAACCCATGTCCATCATAAATCAACATAACATTTAAGCATCATGGACACAATCAGTTCCAAGAAAGAATTTAATCATGGTGTACTTTAAAATGGATTGGCCATTGCAATTACAACTAGAGCCTGGGGAAAGATATACATTACTTAAATGAAAAGTTACATTAATTAAAATGGTTTGCCTTCAAACTCCAAGTAAAACAAACTGTGAAAGACTTTAAAAATAGTGAAAATATAACATCTAAGTTGTGGACTTTTCCCTTTTCTGTGGGCCTGTATTTTAAATTATAGCTAAAGAATAGTGTTCTCATTACTCTTTGGTGGAATTCCTGTATTTAGTGCTTAGAAACGCATGGAGCAAAGACATAGAAAACATAACTTTTAAAATAAATTACTGGACATAAATAAAATATACCAGCTTAGGAGAGAAGCTTGGGAGTCACATTTTAACATTTTTTGCTGTGTGATATTGAGAACACTATTTAATATTCTGTGCCTCCATTAACTCATTTAGAAGATGAGTGTCAAAGTACTTATATCATACAGTTGTTAATAGGATACAAAATAACCTATAAAAATTGCTTAGTGTGGAGCATAGCAAATAGTAACTGCTCAAGAAGAGTATCTCTCAGTATGGTAGTCTCAGGTAATTCTTAACAACTTCCTGTTATAATGATCAATGAATTTAACTTTCCCTTCATGCATTACTAAAGGAGAGAGAATTACAATAGGTTTAAATGTCAATGGCTTCAGGAAATTAGACTCATTTAGCATTGTATAGTCTTCAAGAGTGAGACTAAGTTTGCTGGCAATTTAAATTTACACATTTCCCCAGCCACATTTTCAAGGCTCCCTTGACCTCACTGTTCCTCAGACTGTAGATGAGGGGGTTCAGCACAGGGGTGAAGATAGTGTAGAATGCTGACACAAGCTTATCGTGGTTAGCTGACCTGTAGGATTTGGGTCTCATGTAAATAAAAATAGCAGCTCCATAAAAGAGTCCCACCACAGCCAAATGTGAGGAGCAGGTGGCAGATGCCTTCTGGCGGGCTTCTCTAGAACGCATCTGGAGAACAGCTATGAGGATAAGACTATAGGTGGTCAGGATGAGAGATAACGGGGCCAGGAGCATTAACACACAACAGATGTACATGACATACTCAAAGACAGATGTGTCAGCACAAGCCAAACGCACCAGCATGGGGGCCTCACAGAAGAAATGATCCATCTCACGTGTGCTGCAAAATGGGAAACTCAGGGTAGCAGCAGCCTGCATGAGCCCATCAGCTGCCCCCAGGAACCAAGACCCCAAAATCATTCTCAGGCATAATTCCTGGCTCATGAGGACAGGGTATTGCAGTGGGTGGCAAACAGCCACATAGCGGTCATAAGACATTGCTGCTAAAAGGAAACTCTCTCCACCATCCAGTGTGATTGAAACAAAGATCTGCAACCCACAGCCAGCAAGGGAGATGGACTTTTTGCCAGTCAAGTAGTCAGCAGCCATTTTGGGCAGAATGGTAGCAACCAGCATCACATCCATGAGGGAGAGTTGGCTCAGTAGGAAGTACATGGGTATGTGGAGCCGGGGGTCCCAGTAAATCAGGAGAAGCATGAGGGCATTGCCCATAAAAGAAGCAATGGCCATTGTCAGCACCACCATGAAGAGAAAGAGGTGGGGTCCTGTGTGTTTAAAGAGTCCTAGAAGAATGAAGTCTGAGGTTGTGTTTCTCGTCTCCATGATTTCTTCTGGTGTGATTCTGTCAATGGAAAAATAGAGAAGGAAGGGGCTTTCATCATCTAACAATCTTAGTCTGACTTCATAACTTCTGGACATGTGCTGGATATGGAATCCAGGGTTCTGATTCAAAGCCCTACCCTCTAGTTAATATGGCTCTTCTTGACCTACCATCCCACTTTTCTTTAACTCAACATTTTAATATTTTAAATAAGGTTAGTCTATATATTACACAGAATGGCATATAGGTTGATTGAGATAATAGATCAAAATGGATCAAAAGTAAAAAAAAATTGTCAAGGGCTATAAAATTATAAATAGTTACTTTGGCCAATTTTATATTGTTTAATAATTATTATTGTGCTTTCATTACGTGTACTGAAACCAAATTTAACAAGTTGAGAAAATAAACACCCATTTAAAAGTTTGTCATTTATATTTGTCTGAGTCATACATGAATTTTTTTCAAATTTTGGAAATTTTAACACACTCAAATTAGTTCTTTTTTTAATAAACAAGAAAATAAACTTGTTTCACTATGGGCTACAAGGACCACAGAAGGGAACAGATGCGTATAAGTAAAACAAAATTTCCCCACTGAAGGAAAATAACGTCCCCAATAATTGATGAAAATATTCTTACTTCCTCTCGTTAAATAACTATTTTTATTTACCTGATTTTTAAAATGTAGTTATTCTAGTTCATTACTCTCTTTTCTGAAATCTTCGGTGTATTCCCACCACACGTGGAATAAAATGCAGATTTCTTTCCCCAGCTTACTAGTACTTGGAGCCATGCCGTACATATCATTTCACCACACAATATACTGCCATGGAGACTTGCAATGGTCAGATGAGTATGAAAGGAAAGCATGAGAGGATCTTTGATGTCAATAAATGCTTGGAGGGAATTGCAATAGTTATGATGATTTGTAAGGTGATTAAAAAGAAAAGGAACCAATTTTAAAACCATCTTATTACCATGGAACATAATTATTAGTCACAGGTAAATTATAAATATATCTGAAAAGATAAAAAATTAAAAATACCTAAATTATATATTTGGCCTATCTTCTGAGGATAGTTGTTTCATATTTAGCAAAACATCTATTTTCTTAGGAGACACAAGCAAAATGACTGAGCCCACAGAAATGAGCATGGCTTTATTAGGAAGTGTTTCTAGGTTGAGAGCTGTTATACACTGAACATAAGTAAGATTTTTTCAGTGTTTGCCATTTTTTAAACACCATACTAAGAGCAAAACTTGTAAATTCATAAAGAGCAGAAGAGCACATACATGCCAAGAAGCCAATTCTCCTCTTTTATTAGCAGAAAAATGCACAAATTTGCCATTTTTGTTTGTGGATGGATTTGCAGACTTCTTTATTTCTGATATGGACAGTCCAAAATTATTTCATCCAATGCTTTAGAGACATAATAATCTCTGAGCCTGTCATCTGGAATTGTCTGGTAATTGAATACTGCAGAGACAGAGAGAGTGATGATGCTTTATTTATTTATTTTGTGAATACTCTAATGCTAGAAAAATCAGGTGGCAGACAGAGCCCACCTCTTGCACAGCCATCTGACACACAGGCAGTCTCTTTAAGGGACCTGTGGAATGTTAGTGCTAATGGCTCATTAAATTGCTACCTTCACCATGGGAGCATTCGCATTTGAATAGACATAACAACACACAGCAACAACAGCATCTTTGAGATGGCTTGTTTAACCACTGATACCAGACAAATAAGCAGTCTACCTAACAGAGGTCTTGCTGAGCCTTGGTGATTTGCGCTACTGTCTATCTAGTATATGCAGCCCCTTGTTTCATATACTACTTAAAATATCTTTCTCCTCTTATTGCCACAGACCTAGATTCCTTGCCTGCAGCTGTCTTTGCCTCCATTATAGCTTTACCTGCCCTCAGACTAGTCTTATTGATGTTAGGTTACATGGATAAAGAACTCTGGACTTGGGATACAGAAGTCCTGGGTTAAGAATTATTTATTTTATTTTCTATATATGTGATGAGGAGACAGTTACTTAACCTTATTTTGTTTATATGTATCAAATTACAAAACTTCTTAACAGATAAATTGGATATTTTGTGCAGGAATGAATTTTGAAATAATTTCCCTTCATTTTGCATATTGAAACAAAATTGTTAATTTCAATTTAATTTGTCAGTCTATGTCATTAGTTGCTATTTTTTCCCACATAAGCAATAGATAGAAAGTCATAGCCAAAACTGTCAGTTTGATCATTTGACTGAATGCTCTGGAAATGTGAAGGTGAAATAGATGAGCTATACACACATGCACACTCACACACATACACATGCACGTGTGTGTGTCTAAATAAATAACAATGAATTTGGAACCATGACTCTTTAAAATGAAAATGTAGTAAATAAATAGCTCTGTAATATGCTCCTCTGTTGTGAAAAATTGTGATGTATGATATTTTAGTGAATCAGGCTTTTCAACATATAGTAGGTAATTTAATAGAAAGATCAATTTAAATGTATCACTTAATTTTGTGTATATAGAACTAACGCAGCTTGTTCTTTTTCAGTAAATGTCAAACAAAGCATTTTTTTATTTTTTGGATGAAGATTAGGCCTCAGCTAACTACTGCCAGTCCTCCTCTTTTTGCTGAGGAAGCCTGGCTCTGAGCTAACATCCGTGCCCATCTTCCTCTAGTTTATACGTGGGACGCCTACCACAGCATGGCTGCCAAGCAGTGCCATGTCCGCACCCGGGATCCGAACCAGCGAACCCCAGGCCGCCGAGAAGCGGAACGTGCGAACTTAACCGCTGCGCCACCGGGCCGGCCCCTCAAACAAAGCATTTTTAATAGAGAATGTATTGGCATTATGGATATATATAAATGCATTTACTTGCTAAGTGAAACATTTAGCTTTTAATTAAAAGTCCATATTAACTCAGCAAATTATGAGACTATGGACAGATGCTTATGCGAATTTCTTCTTTAGTTCAATTGTGGACCAAATTAATGTTAGGCTATTAAATAAGGGGACTGAAATTGAATGAAACCTTTTTTTAAAATATACGTATATATTTTCCTGAGGTGGGAGAGCTATTCCCACTCCAAGAATAGGTTATGGATAGTTTTCCAGGTGTACCTGTACGCATCCTTCAGAGAAAGAAAAGGAAACTTTTCTTCATTTTTTTTTTTTTTGAGGAAGATTAGCCCTGAGCTAACTACTGCCCATCCTTCTCTTTTTTTGCTGAGGAAGACTGGCCTTGAGCTAACATCCGTGCCAATCTTCCTCTACTTCATATGTGGGACGCCTACCACAGCATGGCTTTTTGCCAAGCAGTGCCACGTCCACACCCGGGATTCAAACCCGTGAACCACAGGCCGCCGAGAAGCAGATGTGGGAAATTAACTGCTGCACCACTGGGCCAGCCCCTTCTTCATTATCTTTAAAGTAACAAAATATCTTGCCCTCAGAATTTTTCTTATTTAGTCTAGGCCCTTTTGTTTAGAAAATATCTGAGGAATTGTGTGTCTATTAATCCCCACATCACGCCCTTTCTGAAGTTAGTAGAGAAATAGATTAGTCTCCTTCTCCATATTTGCACTGACTTATAATATCTAGTAGAGATCATTGTCATGAACTGTTGGAGTTTCCTTCCACAATCTCCTTTCCTCTTCCTTCTGCCACTGTGCCCGCGACAAAGAAAGTGCCTCTAGGTCCAGAAGATATTGATATAAGATGGTTAATTTCTTGAAACAACCACACTGTTCATTGAAGAAATCCACTAATATGAACTCAGTAACTTGAATGAATTGAGTGCTTATTCAAGAACATTTATTATCCTGCTGGTTCTGGGTGGACCAGCCCACAATTTACACCTTCAGAATAAATGTGGACAATAGGGAGACTTTTATTTTGTATCATTTGTGGATGAAATTTTACAAAGGTTACTCTGCAACTCAAAATTCAGATATACAATACCAAACACTTAATAAACAAGAATCATTTGAAATTACTTCCTAACACAATGGAAAAATAATTCTCAAATTAGACTCACCTCTATAGTAGACAGTCATAATCCCTGAGATATAGACATGGTAGCGGATCTTTTTAATAGGTTGACTACAAATGTTTGCTTGCATCAGTGTTGAGGGTACCGCTTCCTCCTCCTGGCCTCATGCCATACTTATTTGGAAGTCCTACGTGACCACTTAAAGTTTCGTACACCTACACAAGACCTTCCCTGGGGCAATGACACCTTCAAAGGCAAGTCACCTTTGTCAGGGGAACACAGATTTAACGGTTTCTTAAGAGTAAGTGGTGCAATGAACTAATTAAACACCCAGGTTTTGCTAAAGGCAAAATAACCCTGAATGGGAAGGTGAAGAGAGGTGGAACTGTGAGGACAACAGCAAATGCAAGGACTTTTCAAAGGCAAAAACAGGGGTTTCACTCCTTGAACTGAACAAATGTGCCTTAATTGCCTGAAATATAGATTGTCCCTTTTTCTGTTTGATGATAATAATAGATTTTATTTATTAAACATTTCTACATGCTGGCAAATATGCTCAGCATTTTACATATATTTCATCTTTAAAACAGCCATTTGATCTATGAACGTCTGCATTTTACCAGAATGCAGACAATGTTAACGTTTTTAAGCAACATACCTATATTTAACTGTCCTGAGGTAGCAGAGTAAAGGAATTTATGTTTAAATCACCTCATATTTGTGGTTCTAAAACTTTAGGGAACATTTGAATGACTCAAAGGGAGCCTTAGTTACACGTTGAGAACTATGCCCTTAAATTAGTCATGTAAAGTTGAATTCTGACTCCTCTATCCCTAAGTGGTCTCCATTGCTTTGATAGCCTCTAAACTCATTGATTTCCAATTTTGTGTGTTTTTTAAAATCCTTTTTCTATTTCTTATGCATTCCCTGATCTTGGATTAGCATGATGAGTGAGCTTCATGCTCCTCTTGCGTAAAATATGCAT